ATGAACCAACAAAAGCATGCAAACGGAAATAATATGCCGATTAATTTAGAATAATCACAATGGCAAGGCAAGTTTATTTCTATAGGGTTTGAACATTTTCAGAGAAGAAGCCTGTCTCAGATTTTCAGGAAGACTATTCCAGATTTTAGCTGCATAAATCTGAGATGCTGCCTCCCCATGGGTAGTCCTGACTCAGAGTCCCAGCAGGAGGTCCTCAGAGTTGGTTCATATGGCACTAACATGTCACAGATGTACTTTGCTGTGAGGCCATGCAGAGACTTGTGATAAACAGAGCTGCTTTGAAGTCTATTCTCTGAACCACAGGAAGCAGAGACCTGAGACCAGGACTAATGTGATGGTTTTTCCTGGTTCTAGAAGGACTTTGGACGCTGCGGCATTTTGCAATATTATCTCGCATGCCATTTGTCGTGTTACTGACCATTTTTTGAAGCAAATATCTTCGCCTCCAACTGGACCAGTGTTGCTTTCATGGCCCCTTCTGCACGTTCATAAATCCCAAATGAACTGTTTAAACTGAAAATCAAACATGTTTTATGAGCGCAGCCTGAAGCACAAAAGGAGGTTTTGGGATATTCTTTTGTCCACAAACACATCCAGCTGAGCACACATCATTACACGTCCTGCAGTGGCAAAATTGTTTTTTTGCATAACTGCTTTTGTTATTGCCGTGACTTTGCCTCCATATGGGTCCCAATGTTTTTGTTTTTTTGTATATTAAATGATACACTTCCCCCCATGGATTTTAGACAGGGTTTGAATGAGACCAAAGAGGACATTTAAGTTGAATACTGAATATGCAAGGAAGAATAGTAAACATATGATATCCTTGATAAGGCAAGTGTTCCAAGCAAGAAATATAGTTGCCAAAGAGCAGGGGGTCAAATTTAAAAAGGTAAGAGCTGGTTGGGGCCAAAAGTATAAGTGGTTTTCTCTTATAATAATTATTTATTTTGTGTTACATGTGTTAGACAGATTACTGTCTGCAAAAAGGTTTTAGTGTTATTTTCTGTGCCAAATCTCAAGAAGAGTAGACCTCTTGAAGGTCTGAATAATAACTATAAAACATGTATTTGACCAATATTTACTTCTATTTAGTTTAAATATTAGAACAGATATGGACCTTTTTCTGAGAAAATATGCTTTAAAATGAAGTATAACATACCCTAGTAATGATAATTGAAAGTAATTTCAGGGGCCACTAAAATGGTCTTTTAGTGGCCCCTGGCCTGAGTTTGACATGTGTGCCGTAGAGAGTCCCAGTGAAGCCATGGGACGTTCAGTCATTCATGAATTTATTCATTTATGTCTCATTAGTGTTGAGGCCCATGTCTCAGTCCCACTGTGGCTTTATAACACACACATGCTTTTAACAAGAGACACTGAGGGACTGAGGGACTCCTAATATGACAACGTTTTATTCATGAACTGTTTTATATAGAGGTTCATGTCAACAACTATTGTACAGATGTTTAAATACAACTATATATTTCTTGCACTACAATATACATAATGCAATATTTGCTTTTTTATTATGCTAAAGTTAGGGATTTTGTATTATTTCTTCTACGTTATGCTAAATTTTGATATTTCAGTATTGCTTCTTTATTATGCTAAAGCCTGAATGTTGATAATAATCATCCATCATTTATATAGCACTTGTCTGAATGTCTTGTCTAAGATGCTTCACATGTCATTATGCTGAATTTACTCAGGCAGAAGCAAGGCAACCAGTATCTACCATCAGCCCCTCCCACCACCACCAACCATTTACACACACACTGGACTCATTGTAATGTGGGTGAAGTGTCTTGCCTAAGGACACAACCACAGTTTGACACTTTACAGCCACAGCCGCCCCAATGTAGCACCTAGTGTTCCCAGATGTCTCCCATCACAGTACTAACCAGGTCCTGCCCTGCTTTGCTTCAGAGATCTGACGGGATGGTCAGTTCCCCAGTGTGCTCCAGACAAGAACAGAAATAAAACAGGCTAAAAAGTTCCAGAAACAATAATCACTGAGAAATTGATCAACAAAAACGGCTTCAATACAAGTGAAAGAAGATAAAAAGTGCTTTCTTCAAAATGACAACAGCTTGTGAAATAAAGCCGTTAACCAAGCAAACTTTCCTGCGTCTCAAAAAGCCAGACATTTTTCCTTTAGGACGATATCATGACACTAGTTCTAAGCTGGAGGACTTGGCAAAGGCACAGACACAGATCCAAACAGCTGCTAACAAATCCAATTCACCCAGAGCCAATTTCCAGTAGCTTTCTACTTCATTAGTCTGACATTGAACGTATTCTGCTGCATGTCTCCACTACCGAGAAAAGTCTTGTTTTGTCTGTGGAGATAGAAGCTCATAAACAGCCTGACATTTGGAGAGATATTAGAAAACATTCACTTTCTTACAAGCTACAGAGAATCAATACGGCTCTATAGCATGGCGCTCCCAATTATATAGTGCTTAGTCGAGCTTGTGTCAAGGATAATTGGTTTGTAGTTGTTATGTTGTCTTGTATTGACCATCTCCTAGGCTAAAGAGATGGACCTAGTCATAAATCTTGACCCTCTAAAACTTGCTCCATGGTTAATATTAGAGTGATGGCCTTGAAGATGAAATATTCTGAGTTGAGTGCCAAACATTGTTCAAGTTGTGTTTGTTGGATCTGAAGAAACAAGAATAACATGATAAGTATTCATTGTGGATGTGTTGAATGGTGTGTATTTGGTGTACCATTTTTTACTAAAAGGTCTTCTCTTTGTGGGTCGCCTTTTTCCTTGTCGAAGCAGGAGGGTCTAACATGAGGACGGTGGTGATCATCCTGTGCACTCAACATTTAGCAACATTTATGGACATTGGTCATCATGTAATGTTTTCTTATCATTTCCTTTGTTGTGTTTGAACTGTTTGATTTTATGATCTGTTGTTGGCAAATTCAACAGTTGTGTAAAGTCCCCCAAGATAGCTACTGTCGTTAATTACGTTATAAGTTTATCCATCATAAAAATGTGTCTTTCTTCTAGAGACGGGACTTTAATACATGTTTTTCACGAATTTTAACACATTTCATTCCACCTTCCATCCCTCATTTCATCCCACAGAGCTTTTCATCCTGGACCCACCAAGGAAAATGGTGAAAAGACGCTTTGTGCATGCATGAGCTGTGCGAGCCTGACACATGGCTGAAAAAACGTGTTCATTCAAAATTCCACAGCTGGTCTAAAAAAATACTCCCCTCAGGATGGACAGCATCTGAAACTTAGTGTAGTGTTGTAGGAACTTTTACAGTAGCTCCAAATAAAAATAAAAACAGGTTGACCAATAACAAATGTGTCCTTTTTAAGAATGTTTGCCTCCACCAAGTTTTTCAATTGTTGTCATAGGTTTTGAATTTGTTTTATAAATGTCCACTGGAACTAGAGTCGTCCAGGTCAATGCACCATCTTCAAATACAATGGTTGATAAGGGACAAAAAGGAGTTTGACCGGGAGTTTGGGACCTCTGTCAAAGACATCATATTGTCCTGCAAAGCTATAGGACAATATGATTAATATATTGTATGATCTCAATGCCAGATGGGAGTAAAATTACACAGTCTACCTTTAAAGAGCAGAGGAACTACAGTAAGTCCATCCTCTTTACACCGTCGGCCTGGCATGCTCACTGGATTGTATTAAACGCCTGCAAAATATTGCTACTTAATAACAAAAGTTGTACTTGTGGGTAGGATGTGTTTCTGGACTTGGTTGAGCAAAAATAAAACATTTTGTTGCTCAAGTGTCTGTATTCATGCATTATTCAATGATACTAAAATAGAAATCCATGTGGAAAAATACTTCTCTTCTTCTTGCACTTCTTGAAATGCATTTCCTTTTTATTTGATTACAAAGCCCCTAATTAATTAGATTTTTTATATGGTCCCTGCCCTACTTTTGTCATTATCCCTGTCACTGTAGATGAAAAACATGTATATATCATTGATATATTTTGGATCTCGTTGTAATGTTCAGTTGAAGCTGTGAGTTTGTGAGTGGTTTGTTGTGTCTGAGTCTGCAGCGATATGGAATTTAGAATTAAACAATGATGAATGCTTCTAAAACGATATGGAGGTGTCATGCTTCCGCTTTGATGGATGTTTGTTTGTGAGTCATCCGTGCATTTTTATAGCTGTGTGTTTTCTCAAGAACCTCACTCCCTTTGGATGGTGATGAAAAGAAGGAACTGATTGTGAAATAACTACATTGAATAAAGGCAGAGGAGTATTATGGGATATCATTGTTTGGTAGTTTTGCAGGGTTTGGGTTTTGGGACAGGAAAATCTAATGTCAAACCCAGGCCCTGGGACCAAATTTGGCCCACAAGGAGATGTTTAGTGGCCCCTGAAATGATTTAGAATTGTCATGTTTATAGTAACTTGCAGCATTGATGGTTATGGGATACTTTGGAATGTTTTTCTTCATTTTATAGCTTATTATCTGGAATCTTTTTTCCAATTAAAATTAGAAACATATTCTGCGTTAATGTATATGCCTGGGATGCAGACGAAACCTACACAAACACGGGAGAACATGCAAATTCCACACAGATCGGCCTGAAAGTAGAATAGAACCCAGGAACTTCTTACTGTGAGGCACAAACACACATTCTAAGAGTCCACGTGTCTCCTTTAAGCTATAATTACAAATCCTCTGGGATATTTAAGCAAACATGGGTTCACTCCACTTTTCACAGTACATCACAGTCAAACCTGCAGTTGGGGGCTCACGGAAATGGCCTCCTGTTATGTATAGATCCTGAGAGTGTTCATAAAGTCCACATTAGCGGCCTCATATATGCTGTGGTCTCCGGGTCCTGGGTGTAAACGACATCCATCACGGCGCTAACACGTCGTGGCCATAACACATAAACACGCAGGGGCAGAGCCGGAGGAGAGCCGTCTGAAAAAGGCCATTACTGCGCCCAGCTCCTGGCCTCTTTATGCAATCACACTGCCTCATATTAGTCTGCGATGGAGTTCACAGGGCCACGGCTTCGGATGCAAGTGCAATATATACAGGGCATAAAACATTAACGCGGTGCCCATCTGTCCGCCGTTTTTCTAGGATAGAATCGTTCGCGTCAAACTTCTGAGATCATAAAGAAATACTGTTACTATATCATCAACTGTGTCCACAAAATGCACTGATAAGCAGCTGTTTTTGTCACAGTCTTGTATCAAATGTTTAATTATAATGATGTCCATTGCAGTATAAACATAGAGTTAGCCATTTACGATCACACCAGTCCAGGTCTCAGGTCTCCGCTTCCTGTGGCTCAGAATAGACTTTAAAACAGCTCTGTTTGTCACAAGTCTCTCCATGGCCTCGCACCAAAGTACATCTGTGACATGTTAGTGCCATATGAACCGACTCAAACTCCTGACGTTCGGCAACGTTTCAGCCAAAAAAAGGAGCGCTCTAAACAAAGTGGTACCCTAAACAAAATGGTACCCTCTAAAGGAGCGCTCTAAACAAAGTGGTACCCTCTAAAGAAGAGCTCTAAATAAAGTGGTACCCTCTAAAGGAGCGCTCTAAACAAAGTGGTACCCTCTAAAGAAGAGCTCCAAACAAGGTTGTCTCGACTGAAATAACATTGAACTGTGAGCTGCAGAGCTGGAGACTCTGTGTGAACCCAGACCCCAGATTGACCTCCTCAAATCATCAAAAACCCTACTGGCCAGGCTGTAAAGAAAGGTGACAGCTTTGTCCCTCAGATTTGACAGACATTTTAGAGTTCAGTCTGAATAACATTTATTTCATTAATAACATGTACAACATCTATTTCTCTTACTCACTTGAGCCATTTGCAGTGTCTCTAAACTGAATGTGCTGTCTCTGTTCCAGCTGTACATCCAGACCACCACGCTGACCATCTCCATGAACCTGAGTGCGTCCGTGGCCCTGGGGATGCTCTACGTGCCTAAAGTCTACGTCATCATCTTCCACCCAGAGCTGAACGTGCAGAAGAGAAAGCGCTCCTTCAAAGCCGTGGTCACCGCCGCCACCATGTCCACGAGACTGTCCCACAAGACCAGCGACCGGCCCAACGGCGAGGCCAAGACCGAGCTTTGCGAGAACGTTGACCCCAACAGTACGTGATGCTTAAGTATTTATATATACATATATTATATATATATATATATATATATATATATATATATATATATATATATATATACACACATTAGGACCAACACAATTCTAAAGCTTCTAGAACTCCCAGAGCCATCAATTTGACTCTCAGTCTTCCCCAAAGAATGTTACATTTTTCACCAGATTTATTAAAAGACAGTTGTGTATGAGGTTTTTTTTACCTTTACACAACTTTTAATAGGTGCTAAAACTACTCACATTTCAAAAATAAAAGATAATTTCTTGACAATATTATGACAGAAATAAACAATGTAAAGAAACGGAAAAAGTCACAACGTTATGAAAAACAAGAATAAACATGAGATTAGGAATTAGTCAAATTGACTGCTCTGAGATTTCTAGTGTAAAAGAGAATTAAACACCTAAACCCCACAGGTAAGTCCAAATGTGTGTGTTAAAAAAGAATCATTGATTTATTGAAATTGAAAAATCCCAATAGACCAAAATATTTTGGTCCAAATGCACCGACACAAGAGAAAAAGAAGAATATTTTTTGTTATCAATTGTTTTAATCTTTTATAATGTCAATGAACATATACAACACACACTCACACACAGGGCCAGGCCTGAAACCAAAACAAACTCCTAGATGGAAGTACTGTTGCACATGCTAATGCTACTCATGCTATTGAAAGAGTAAAGAATACTCTCTGAATGCACACAACATGTTCAAGTTGACCGGCCACAGCGATTAAAAAGTACCCTAAACACTAATGTATATTTTTTTCTGAATTTTGATGAATTTTCCAAACTTGACCAGGCCTGAGTCATTTACATCCTTTTAAGGTATTTTTCTTCAACTTTTAGTCATCTGTGGCAGGTCATTTTGACGTAAGGGTAGCACACATGTTAAACGGTTTTCTACATTTCCCTTTACCTTTAAAAAAAAACACGTTCGAAAATCTATCACAAGGATCTGAACAGAACCTTGGACAGTTGCGATTCTGATCCCGGTGCCATCTCTCAATGGGCGACTCACCACATGATGTTTTTCTCCCCTGACAGGCTAATTTCATAATTTATCTGAGGTAAGAACACGTGAATCTTGTCTTCCTGTTTTACCTTGACCTTCCTCCATCTTTGTAGTGGATGGGGAGAGAGTCTGCCTGTTGAGAAGCAGAGATTTATGGGTAAAACACTGACGGTCTGACAGTGTGAGGAGAGAGGGTTTATCCACTGCTCTTTATCACATCATTCACTTCACTCATAACTTTTCCGCAAGGAGACGAGGGTGATCCGAGTGAGATTTGACTTTTTACAATCTTCTGCACTTGCCTTGTGTTGTTTTGGGACACTGTAGAGTACTTTATTTGACCCGAGAGATGCATTTAAGAATAACAAACAAGCGAATAATTTATTGTTTCAAGTTACATGCAAAAAATTGTATTGTCGATTATGAAGACTGAATGAAAGCCCTTAAAACCACTAAAAAATAACTCTAGAGGCTGACTGGTGCTAGTGCAGAGCCTATAGCCTTTGTCCTGAACAAAGCTAGATAGAAACAATCACACAAGGCATCAACATCAAAAATAATCATAGTCCATTTAAAAGCGTATAGAAAGAATCCCTCAGTTGTATGCACAGCTAAACACAACTGTTTTTAATCTGGATTAGAACATGCTGTATTAATCTGAGATGCTGCCTTTTCATGTTTGGTCCTGATTCTAGGACCAGCAGGAGACCAGTCCCTGTGCTCCTCAGAGTCTGAGGTGGTACTATAGTGGTGTGAGTCCCAAAGTGTGTTGATTACTTGAAGACTTTCAAAATAATAGTTTTGAAAATGAATTCCAAAAATATGGCAAATATTGAGGCCACGTGCAAACCAAGACCTAAGACAGACGCTCAGTGTTAGGGATAATACTTTGAAAATGTATTCTCTATATATTCTGGATACCTGCTGTATTTATTTATTTTTTTATTGTAAAAATTACCAAAAGAAAAATGTCGATTTGCCAACAAAGCTCAGTGAATCAAACAGTTCAAAAACAGGGAATAAAAAAGCCATATCTTTCATCTGTCCAGGGACTTGGCTAACTCTGGTGCATTTACATAAATGATTATTAATGCACAATGTCAAGTAAACTAGTAAAATAAAAATAAATGAATTGGTCTATAAGGGGCAGATGAACAAAGTGTCCTGGATCACGGACGGGCTGTGGAACCAGGACTCGCTCAAAAATAGTCAGTTACGTTGTATTGTCTTCTGTTGCCTCCCAGCACTGCACACACGCCATGCATTCTAGATAGATATTATTACCAATACACGTAAAGCCTCGTAACTTTGTCGGTAATAAAATGACCTGAGGCTCGAGCTCCATCATTAGGCTAATAAGATGAACACAAGGGATGAACGAAACTCTAATTTCATTGTAAAGTGGGTCAAGAATAATGTGTGCTGAGATTATGTAAAAGCGAGACAAACACTGAGTAGGCCGTCTGTCCTTTTGTTACAACATCATTATATGGATTTTTGTCAACGACGGCACAAACAGAAATTACCCCTAATTAAGTGGCCAATGCAAAGGAGTCAGGGGAAATATATAGCAACAAATAGTCTAGCAAACTTTTACTCAAAAATTAAGTGAAGGGATCCTGTATTCTTCCCATAACAGGGAAATTTCAGTGTTGTATCATCAGTTACAGAACAGTAGGAATGAGGAGCACACAGTATAAGATGAAATAAAATAAATTCTCTAACTCTAGCATAATAAAGAAACAAGAATTAAGTAACATTTAACATTAAAGGAGCAGTATTAAAAAGTCTGGCCAAAAGTGGTACTGCACTCTCTCTGACTCAGGTTGCCAGATATGCAGACAAATCCAGCTGGGATAGACAAATCTATAGATTTGTTGCTGACCAACACATTTTTCACAGAGGTCTCACCAAAATAAATCCTAGTTTTATTCCTTGTTTTGTCATTAATGATTTGAGAATCATAACAAGACCATTTTTAGTTCTGTGGCCACATGCTATTAGTATTTTACCAGTGACATTTGCTCAATGCAGTGAGTTCTGGCAACCCGGATCACAGACTTTCCGAATGGTAAAACGTATTCAAAAAGAGCAATTAATGCCTTTTGACAGATTAGGCACGGTGGGTTTCATGAACCTCACAAAATGTCTGTTGTAAAACTGTAAAGTATTTGAAAAAATGACTATTCCTTTAAAAGGATTTCCGACTTTGCTTCATTTTGCAACAAGTGAGACAGATTTTTGTTGGAATGAAAGAAAGAAAAGGTAATGTTTCGTGTGGTTGTAGTGAAAATATGTCAAGGTTTCAGTAACTCCTGAGGTAAATGGAAAAAGATTTTCTTTTCTTCAACACTCTGTGAAAAGCTTTGAAACTGCACAAAACTGTGAGGATTACGAAGAATGAAAGTCTACAAGATGGAAATCAATGGCAGCCTCACGCCGCTGAAGGTTTTGCTTCTTAAATTTGTTAAAAAAAGTGAAATATTTGTACTAATCGTTAAAAAAAGGTTAACTTTCTCTTGAGTTACAATGAAAAAAAATAACCTTGATACAAATCCTTACTTAATCAAATGTTTATGTTTGTTTGTCAGAATCCGGCCTTTACCTCTCATTGGACACTGTTTTAAAAGCAAGAATTTGAGCACATCCTGACTTCCTTAAAACAAGATTTTCCAATGGGACAAAGCAAAATGGCCTTGTTTAAAAAGATACAAGAAATGTCTCCGTCTGATTTCCTCTGCGGATGTTGAGAATCCTCCTTCTTTCATCCGTTTGTTTTTACGGCGGTGCAGTGGGGACATTCCCAGTGTGTTTAACGTGGCTGGGACATCCGGACCGTCGGCATGTGTCGCTATTCCGAGTGCGAAGCCACAGCTGAAGCCTGGTGTTGCCATTGGCAGGCATGAGGGCGCTCCGTCATGGACCCCCAAAGACACAGAGAGCCATCTGTCGGACTGGGTCAGACCTGGAGCTTCTGTCTCGTTCTTTTTGTCTATTAGCTTAACTGGTATTTCCCCTCTTTACTATACGGATTTATTACATGCAAATAGACGTATGCCCTTTGTCTGTTATCATTTTTATGTGGAAAGATTACGGTCCATTTTCTCAATACACAAGGCATCAAGATGGAGAAGATCACACAAGGCATCAAAATCATAAATAATCACAGTAATCTGGATTTATCCCTTTAGGCGCCACTTAAGTCGACAATTTGGGGTCCTGTTTGAAACTGCCAATGGTGCCAAAAATCATTCAAACTTGTGTGGTACAGTGTGAGTTCTGTGTGTTTGTTCATGTCTTAGTGATCTGTGTCCGACAGTAAAAATAAAGATATATGTTTTATGAAAATCCACGATTGCCACGCCCATATGACGTCATGATATGCAAATTAGATGGGTACATTTAATTCCTACATACACTTTGGGCCCTCTTTATCATTTCTCTAATTTACATAAAGCCTCTATCTCTTTTCACTTTTAAGTTATTAAGAAACTATGGTAAGATGTCACAATTGAGCCTCTTAGGAAAAAACCTCTGGCGCTTAAAAGGTTAACCTGGATTTGAACATTGTCAGAGAAGTAGCCTGTCTCACATTTTCAAGAAGAAAATTTGAAATTCTGCCCATAATTTTAGGTTTTTTTCTCATTCAAAGATCCAAATTTTAGTTTTAATTTTCTTCATAGTTGAACACGGTCAACGCTTTCTTAATGACATTGCTGTGTGTCTAATAAAGCCTATTTGGGGGGGGGGGGACAGAATATGTTGCATTCTGGGAAGATGACGCCTCAAGGAACAATGGGACACTTTCTGTACTCACCTGTCTACAAACTGATATTAGATGCATTCAGAGTAAGCTGATCTTGCACCAGACCTCGCGGATTGGTTTTTGTGTTTTTGTTCTGTTTCTTGTAAATAACCAAACAAGCAAAAGATGAATAACAAAAACAAACATACATGCAATGCTCAAAGGGTTCAAATCTCGCTCCTGGACACCTGTGCTCTCCCATCCTCACTGCTGCTTTACAGACCCTCTCTCTCAGACCCTCTCTCCTCACCTCTCATGTCACAACAAACAATTCTATCTCTGGTTGTTATTCTGGATTTGGCCTCTCAACAAAAGGCCAATTACGGTCTCTATCACTTCCTTCTCAAGTCCATTTCTCATCCAACAAAAATGGCATTGAAAGAATCTTAGAAAGGCAAGTATAAGAAAGCGTCAAGCTTGAGACTTGCAGGTTAACAACCGGAGAAGTAGATCCATCTGGTTTCAAAAGTTGTAACGTGTAGAAAAAAGTATAGAGTAAATCCTGAAGCTAAAGCTCTAACGTCTAATCCCAGGGAATATATGGAGTCATTCTTGGGGCGACAGAAGTGTATTTCATATCATGCACTGAGCTTGGCCACACAGAAATTGGTGTTAAAATAGTTAAACAGGTGAAACACATGCAATTAGAATATTGTCCATAATTTCAATCAATCTCTATTTTAAAGCACATTATAAAATTGCCGAGGTTTACCAAACTTTCTGTCATTCACCTTAGCTACCAACATATGATAGAGATGTATTACATGCAAAGGGACCTAAATCTTCGATCAATTAATTAACGTGTATTTGCAGAGCGCTTGTCATGAGGTGAGATGAACAAGGACCCAACACGCAGTAATGCAAATATCATAATGAATAATAATGATTTAACGACAATAAATAAAAGTCCACTAAGACAAGCAAACACGTCATTTACAACAGTTGTTTTTTCGGAGGACTTCACAAACTGTTGATTCACTAACACAGATTAGAGAATCACACAGTTCGAACACAAGTAACGCCATAATTTAAAACACAGAGCCATTGGTCATAAGGAGCGGGTGACCGAGGTCGAAAAGTAACTAATATTCAATTACAGAAGTGAATGGAACGATTTTTTTGAACGATACGACATTTTTAGTCCACTGTTGGTGCATATGGCTCCATTTCTGCTTTTATCTTTAACTGAAATGACTAATGGTGGCTTTAAGGCTTGAACCATTGTCATTGGGTAAAGATGGAAAGCAGAACCCAGAACAGGTGTGGGGGGTCGAGGCTGAAAACTGGAGATAACTTACAAATGACCAACGATACTGGCTCCGTTAGCCTCGACTTTATCATCGAATTCTCTCTATCCAAAGGCCAATGCGAGATGTTTGCCTCCTTCACTGCACATTTACCCACTGAGCTATGACCTCTCAAACCAAGATGCCCTTTAGTTTCCATCAGTGGGGGAAAACAACAAGAGAGCCTTTTCCGGAACATTTTTTTCAGCCTCTCATGGTGTTACTGTGAAATTTGTTTAATGTTTGGCTGATTGAAGCCCCTGTATGGTGTTGTGAAATCTAATCAGTAACAGTAGGCAACTGAACAAAACAAGAGAGAAACAATCACACAAGGCATTCAAATCATAAATAATCAACGGGCATTAAAAATAGTGGAATTGTGGAAGTGGAAATCTGAACTAAACAGGTCTGTTTTTAACCTGGGTTTAAACGTCAGGGAAGAACCCTGCTCACATTTTCAGGAAGACTGATTCAGATTATAGCTGCGTGAATCTGAAATGCTGCCTCTGAACAAGTTTATGATTATTGACAAACGTATTCACACTGGGCTATAAAGGCTGTGCATATAAGTGAGCAGAAGGCATTAACATCAGGAGACTTCCAGAATTCTGAAACTTCTAGAGCAGTTTTAGCTGGTTTTCACTATTATCAAAAAGCATACGTTTGTCTTGAATACATGCTTAATCTGGTTTGGAAGCCTTGGTGACATCATGATGGGTCACAGTCAGAGGATGAATAAAGTGCACCACTACTTTGCTAGTTTGAATTAGATAAAGCAAAACTGAAGGGTTACTGCGGTAGGTAAACAGTGTGTTGCTATGGTAACCAGCACTTACTCCAAGCTGAGATCCAGGACCGGTCAAAGATCGAGATAATTTCATAACATTTATCTCATATAAAGAAACTTCATGTAGAAACAGAAAAAGCACAAAGGGCCAACAATGTACACAAGCGAACTAATCATACTTCGAAAACAAAAAACTGTCAAATGGACTTCATCAAAGCGACAAGACAAATGCTGCATCTTAAGCGTTTTATTTTTAATTTTTGTCAGGTTCTGGCTTAAATGTGCTGATTTGAAAACATCTGATAAACTGTTTGTAAGGAAATAGCATCACTATTATTGTCATCATTAGGGAAATAATAAAACAGAGTGAAGTTAAAGCCACCGCTGATTTCTCCTCAGAAAAATGGCATGATGCATTTAAAAAATCAGCAACCATCACTCTGCGATAAGTGGCTTGTGCTTGTGCTTGAGAGTTCATAATTCAAGGCTTCAACACATCAAAGGCCGTGTTCAGACTCTTTGAAGAGGGGTTGAATGAGGTTCTGCTACACCACTGCGCCTCTGCACCAGTAGAGGGCAGAGCACCAGATTGTACAAACTTCTGTGGATGATTATCCCCAAAACTTCAAAAACCCTATTTCAAATCATCTCTGAACTGTGGAGTGTTTGCATTCATCACTGGCTCCATCGCACTCCTTCAACCCTTCACTGCTGCAACTTTCAACCGGATACAATCTCATTTGTTTTCTTCTACTGCTTTTCTTCTTCAGGCCCAGCTACAAAGAAGAAGTATGTGAGCTACAACGACATCGTGATCTAAGCCTTCCTCATCAAGAAAGACTGGACAGTGCAAAAAGAAGAAGCCATGGTCAACAACTGTCCAGAGCCAGACCTGACCAGACAAGAAAATGGACCTGTCTTTTTTCTAGGCGTTTCTCTTTCTTTGGTTCCTTTTTTTTTTCCAAGTCCCTCTGTCCAGACATGGGGTCGTGGCGGCAGCAGCAGCAGAGCCTTGGAGGACGTTCCGGACTCATGTCCGGGGGTAGGCCTCTTTAGAAAAGTGAGCACAGAACAAATACATTTATAAAGAGAGGAGCATCAGAGTCTGAGCAGAGACTTCTGTGGATATGCCCCAGGCCTGTGATCGGCTCGAGGGTGTGGCTGTTTGTAAGCTTGTCAAAAGTGCCGTGAGTGGTGTGGTGAGAAGGTGACGCTTGTCACCTCTGACATGCACTTGGTGAGCTCCTTACAAACCTGACTCCTTTCATAGTGTGTGTGTTATGACCTCAATGTTGGTCTTCTTCAGTTGTTGTTGGATTTCTTCTTAGTCTATGATGGTTCTGTTTTGATCTTGAACACACGTTTTTATTGAAGCCATATTCTTTGCTTTGAGATCTCGAAGTCTTGGCACAAGCTGCAACATGGAAAGTTATTATCAACTCAATCCTATACAAAATTCCAAAATTAGCACAATCTAGAGATGAAATAATTATTTTTTACTTAGTTCACTTACATTCCCACGCCTGGGGCAGGCCCAACTTCTAAACTATTGTTCACTTGAGCACAAATCAAAGATTTAGTTTTAGTTTTTTTGGTTAATGTGACACCAATGTTTTAATGATCCAGACAGGGACAGGGACCAGCACAGACTGCTGTTTTTAGATCAATATTTCTGTTCATGTAAACAGTAACGGAAGAAAAAAATTACCAATACATTTTTTGTCGAACTGTTCCATTCTTTGATGCAGATCACCTCCAAACCAAAATCACTCACATTGGTTCAGTTGTATTTAGTTTCCTGAAAATGTCAACCAAGTTCTCTCAGAAATCATGTTCCCGATCACCACAATCATTTATATAGTTATGTAACAGTTTATAGGATAGGGATGAACATCAGCATAAAACAAATGTAAACAAAAATACATAAATTACAACCTACAAGAGTCTGGGCGGACGTCACTAAAATCTTCGAAATGTCCCCATTGTGGGAAAAGTTTCTTATCTTCATCAGGAGAAAATCTCTCTTACATCCTCAGTACAAATATCAGAGTGTGCGGCTCAAGAAACAAGTCCTGGACCAGTGAGGATAAAGTAGAACTCGTTGGTTTGTTAAGGGAAGAAAGGAGTGAGCAAGTTTGAACTGTTGCCTGGAACTCTGTGAAAAGTACAGCAGTGGATACTCTGGGACCCACTGAAGCTTTGGAAAGGCTCATGTAAAAGTACTGCATACATTTATTTAAGAAACATTAAAGGTTTGGGCTGTCGACTGCCCATCATCACAACAACAGTTAAGTTAATTGACTTTAAGGTTCTGTGTTTGCAAGTTTACGCAGTATGGAGAGTGTGACACATTTGGAACTGTCTGTGCTTGTCCCTTTGTCCCTGGGATTGGAAAAAAACCTCATGACCTTTGTGTGAGTGTTTATCATTCAGTTTCAGTCCCCATAGTTCTAATTACTGCCGCAGATCCTGTGCACTTCCATGGCCCACACACATGGCCATTCAATCGACCGAGTAAGCACATCACCGACATGTTTGCTGCATCATTTGCTTCTCTGAGACATTCCAAGAGTATTTGTTTTGGCTCTGAGGATGTTCACAGGGTTCAAACTTTATTATTCATGCACAATATAACAACACAACAACACAACACGATGATACAAGACCCAAATTCTCAGCCATGAATGCAAAGCCAAAAGCAGGTGTTTTGTGAAGATTTATCACTCAGCTGTCATCTGTGGTTTTATTTGGAAGCATCTCCATCTTGCTCTGTGTGTCTCCAGCAGAACCCACAGCTCCTGAGTATTTTGTAGGTGTATGAAGACGATGATGACCCTAAACCTGTAGCCGACTCTCCCGGAGCCAGGCCGTCCCAGACCCCCGCACGCCTGGTGACCACTGTGGCTGCTGATACAACTCGAGGTGTTGATGTGGAAGTTGTCAATGCATGCCTGATATGTTTGGTGTTGAAAAAAAAGATAATGAAACTTGTCATGACACAGTTGACTCCACCTGTCTGCTCGATTCGTCCTGTTTTTTGAGTTTTGCTCCGTTTCCCTTTACTTTAATGTAACTGATTCCTCTTTCTCACACAACGGGGAAATGGCTTTGATCGGTTTCTTGTTTTTTTCTGGAAACAAAGGGGATGAGAAGAAGATGAGTATATATTTAAAAAGAAAAAATAATGATATAAAAAATAAAGCATGTATGTTTTCTACTGTTTGTACTCGGTATCTTCATGTTGCCCTTGCTGCTTTTGTGCCAATGTTGTTGGAGAAATTTACATTTGGCCACTCATGCAACTACTCTGTGGTGTTGTCTAAGAATGTATCAACATGAAATAAAGTATTTGGTTATTTTTTTTACGTATTCCATCAGAGAATTTGTTTGGTATCTGTGTCATTTCTGTCTGAACAAACTAAATAACCTCCTGCATCAGCAAGGAACAACTCTAAAAATCCATAGAGAGACAAGTTTACATTAGCCTGGCCTTAGCCATCCGTACACTCCGCTCTATCATCATTTCACTGCATGTAACGTCTGGGTCTGGTCCCTGTGTTTGCGATTACAATTGGTTGAATTTCAACCGACAAATCAGCGAGCGCGGAAGGAGGGTGTTGTAGTTAGTTGTGGGTGATGTCAAGAGTTTGCGTTGAACGAACAGGTTGTAGTTTGGTATAAAAAAAGTGATGGGGAGTAAAGGAATATATAGTACTTATACAATACAGAATACTCTTTCTGAATAACTGTATTCCATTACAGTGACTACTTTAAAGTTTAGCATTTAGAATAGTTACTCTCTCAAAATCAAGGGAATACATACTTTCTCACACTTTGTTTCAAGGTTGAAAGACTTTTTTTTTCCCTCGTTAAACGGCAGCTGTTGAAGTCTTGTTTTACAAATTACAACAAATTATCAAACAAATCCAGATTTTTTTTATGCTAAATATAAAGAACACAAAAAATGAATACAATTATTGCAAATATTTTGAATACAAGTTCTATTTTTTCCAAAGTAATTAAATACTAAACAAAATACGTGTTAGGTCATGTATTCAGTATTCTGGAACGGAACCGATTTTCAAAGTATTCTACCCAATTCTGTTTAAGATCATGGATAATAAAATAATAAGACAAGAAAACTCTGGAGCTATAATTGCACTTGGTTCGAGGATAAGTGCACAAATACATATATTTTCTTCAGCTTTGTCTGTTGCCGGGTATCAGGGGCAGCAGAGACACATACTTCCCTCTTTACGCACACCTCCTCCAACTCATCTGGGGGAATCCTGAGGCGTTCCCAGGCCAGCTGAGAGATACAGTTCCTCCGTGTCCTGGGTCTTCCCTGGTCTCCTCTCAGTGGGACATGCCCTGTACGCCTGCCCAGAGAGGCATTCATGTGACATCCCAAACAGAAGCCAGAGCCTCCTCCACTGGTTCCTCTCTATGTGGAGATAAGTCACTTGTGGAGAATACACTGTCGTCAGCAGCACCTGGAGGTATTTCCAGATGGTTAGTTTGTACTATAGCAACAGAGAAAAAGACCAGAATAAACTTTAATGATAATAGCACCAGGTAAAGTGATGGCAGATATTTCACAACAGTGACGTTTATTTTCCTGGAGCCACAGAGCCTTGTTCGACTCACCACCGTAACAAGGCCACGTTTCCATGGAGACTCAATGTGTGAAGCTGAAAATCTGCAGTTTATCCGTCCACACCAAAGCTCTGTGGTCCTAACACTTTAATTATATCTGTGTTTACAAAAATCATCACCAAACGTTTGTTCACAAAAGTGTCACTAAAACAGGTGCAGGGCCGTATCTATCAAATCAGATTTCAATTTATGTTTGTTTAATTTGCCAACACAGATCAGAGAACCAAACACTTCAACACAGAAAATGCAATGATTAGAAAAGCCATAGGTCCATAAGGGACGGAAACCAATATCCATAAATGTCGTTGAATGTGAGCCTGGATCATCACAGTCCTTAGACCCTCCTGCATCAGAGAGAAACAACTCTAAAAACCCAGTGGGAGAAAGTGAGAATCCTCGAGGAGGCCCACAATGAGGGAGGGAATGCTTTACATTACTGCGTTACTGCAAAAAACAAAACATTACATTATTTTTGCACCACGTTACTCCGGACACTGAATCTGTGAAACCTGTTCTCATTCTGCAAAAAATGAGTAATGTCCTTGTTCCACATAAAGATCTCTGTCCTCCGCAGCAGTAGCAGATGTTGCCAGAGCACTTTGGGCAGTTTTAACAGACAACGTGGAGCCTTTTGAAAATGACACCGACTGTCTTCGCTGCAAAGCTGGTGGCAGTTCACTTTGGCCTCTGTAACATTCAAAAAGAATCTTTATCTTGAGATTGAGATAAGGTGCCATTTCTTCAGCAGATTAAGCATGGGGACGGGGAGAGAAGTCCCTATCTGTTTTGCCCTTTGCTTTACCCTCGCTCTGGCAACATCCCAACTCCACTGGCTCAGAGGCATCTATGGAAAGAATTCGATTTTTTTCTCCCCATTGCTAAACTTGCTGAAGATGCCCCCGTTAAAGCACTCTCAGAAAGACAGCGTTAATCCGAGGTCCCCCAGTTTCACCTTGTTGCTGATGTGGTGCTTGTCCACAATGACTCCAAGGTACAGAGGAACATCTGAAAAGTCATCAAAGCTCCCATTTGAGCATGATTATGCTTTAAACCTCATTACATCATTGCTATTTGACATTCATACACATGCTTGTTGATTCCCTCAAAATGTACACAGCGAGCGATCTTGCGAGAGGCAGCAAAACACCTCTGAATTGTGAAATT